ACGCGTAGTTTGGATGTATATTGTTACCCTCTCGATCCGTCAATAATTCGCCAGTGATCTTTTTCAATATTGGTGTGAAGCATTGTGGTCATAAGCAGAAGAACCCTACCGATATTCAGCGTCCCTCGACTTTCCATTCCAGAGTTTTCCCACCTTTGCCGAAATACTTGTGTTATAGGATGCTTTTCAAATTTGGGGTCATCAGAAGACAATGCCTATCGATTTCCACGACTTTCCGTTCCGGAGTTATGTCCCCTTTGCCGAATGCCTTGTGATAGCGACAGAGGCTAAAGTCTTTAGCGGATTCTTTCCAAATTTGGTGTGAAACATTGTGGTCATGAGAGGACAAACTCTAGAGATTTTTACTACCACAGTTATATCTCGTTTCATCTTCATTATCATTTATACTTTGGATCATTTCTTCTGTGTCAGGTTCGTGTTGAGATGACTGCAGAAATGGGAGATTTTAAACCAAATAAAATTGAATCGGATCAAACTAAAGTTCAAGAGCTGACATCAGAAGACTTGAAGGAAATATTCCGAGCTAAGGAAATGTGTTCCAAATTATTTCCTGGAGAAAGAATTGTGCCGAACTGGTATCCCTATCGTCTGCTACCTGAGAATATTCCTCTAATGATGGACGGGTGTCAATTCTGGGGCACTAAAGGTTCCGACCAATCAACATACACGACACTGACGGTTACAGAACATTTTAACTTAGGAGAAAGATTGATGTTCAAACTTTGTATGTATGGCAGTGACGCAGTTGATATACAACAACATTGTCTGAAACATATACATAATCTGAATATATTGGTTAAAAGCGGAACATGTACGTCTATCATGATTCACATATCTCACAGCTTAGATTGTCAAGATACGGGAACATTTTTATCGGTTTTTGAAACGTGTGGCCTTAAAATTAACAATGATTTTCCTGGATCTAGAATGTTGCTATTTGAAAGGGAAATAAGATGAAATTAAAACTAACGATAAAGAAATGAAATGAAATGAAATGAAATGGGGTTTAACGTCCTACTGTTCTGCTCTAAACTGGGCTAATGAAGACGGGTAACGATAAAGATAGAAACGTACTTAAGTCATCATTTATGATTATATATAATAATTTATAATTATATATATAATAATTTATAATTATATATATATATATATATAATAATTTATGATTATATATATAATTATTTATGATTATATATAATAATTTGTGATTATATACAATAATTTATGATTATATATAATAATTGATGATAATTTATGATTATATATAATAATTTATCATTACGTTATAGTAATTTGAATGGAAATGCAAGAAAAATAATTTTACATATCATATATTTAACACACATTATAAATTTATTATCCGGACAGTGGTGGCCCTTCCACTGCCAGAATTACTCGAATAGTGTCATTTACCCTTTAAAACAAACGGTACCCCTTTTCCAATAGGATTTGTTTCTCGGTTTATAAAGTCCGCTTACTGTTTCAAATGTATGTCGAATGCGTAGGACTGTTGTTTCTTGAATAGGAGCCACTGTGGCCCAGCAAGGGATTGACAAGGACAGCTGTCTAGTCGTTCGGGTGGTACTTAAAACCGGGGCCCCGCGTGCACGTAAAAGAACCCTCTGTATGGCGTATGCCCGCCTCAATTAGTATAACAGTAGGACGTCAAACCCCATTTCATTTCAGGTTTTTTTTTGTTTCTTGAATACCGGACAGAGCCCTAATTTTAGATAACCCTTACATTGCGATCACCGTTATCATCAGGTTCGTGGGTCCGTGAACTGAAACGACAGAAAATAATCATACGGTCTGCTAACTATGCGCGGTGGTGGAGAGGTAAATTAAATTTAATGGTCATCCAGGAAACGTCCATAGAACTAATATGTAGTGGATATCAAGGCAAAATTTCCCTCATAGCACAACCGTCTCCGTTAGCCCAGTCCGTGCCGAAAAGTAAGTCGTTAAACCCTATTTCATTCCGATTGAGGAGAACTTATATAATGTCATTGCCTGTCGTTCAACCCGGTTCGTTTTATTGAATAAAGTAATGTTTAAACCAAACACTGTTATCAATAATTTGTGACACTTTGCATAAATAGGGGTTAACTCCTTGTATCGTTAATGTATTTCCAAAACTCCTAGTGTACCATGTCTTTTACGTTGTGGGTATTCTTGTTTAAATAAAACAGGTACGAACGTACTGCGGACCAGGAACTAGCCATGGTGTTTGAAAGTATGGTTCATAGAGTTCCCACTCAATCAGGTACCAGGCCCGTAGCTATAGCGGGGGAAGGGGAGGGGGCAAGAGAGGCGCGTTGTTCTTTGGCTTCATATTGCTTCCAATGGAAAGGGCCCCATAGGCGCACATTGGGGGAACCGATTCTTTCCCAATGGGTAAAGGCACCATTGGGTGCGCCGATTTTCTCCAGGGGAGGCAGCTGCCCTCTTGCCCCCGCTACCTACGGGCCTGGGTACATATAGTTTTAGGATACATATACATAATTTTTCATTAGAGGCTACATATAGTTTTAGGATACATACACGCGATCTCCGCCTCTAATGATTTAAGCGGTATCAAATGGACAATAACAGTCCTTTAAATTCTAAACAGGAGGTGTTTAGCTCCTAATTGATATTTAATTGACCAGGTTTTAATGGTCACAACACCCTGAGCAAATTCTGGGAATTACCCGAACATGGTCGTTTCCATAATAATTTACATTACTCAAATTAGGTCTCCTTCAAGGTAATTATTGATATGTCATGGGTTATTCAACATTAATTAAGTTTTTATTAATTTTACATTCCATTGTATTTCATATTTTACGGAACGTGGTTCAGTTAATGTATAATTGTGTTCCATGTTAGGGTGGGATTGTTTTCCTTTAGTCTATTGATTCATTTAAGTCTACCCTTCCGAGTTCTGGTGGTCATGGCGTATTTCAACTGAAAAGTGTTGTTGTAGAACACTACTAAACGTGACCATGCATAGGTAGTTTAACCTGTACAGTGAGTTTAGTATTACTATAAGAGGTATTGGGAGTAGAAGCTCAAAATAACTTTACATTTTCTTGTTCTTCTTCTGGGAGAGAGAGAAAGAGGGGGAGGGGGGATTTAACGTGCACTCGACACAAACTAGGTCATTTCGGGACTAACATATGATTCAATTTTTATTTCAATAATTCGCTTGGGCGTAGGGATCTTTAGCAGTGGGGGAAGACCTGGAGAAATAAAATAAAAAGCTTTTGCTAACAAGCAAAGTATAATAGAAAATGTAAATGCCCGGAAAGAAAGGTATAAATAACCTTTTGCTTTTTCTTACTTTCCTAGGCAAATTTATAGCAATTGCTTACAAAACTGTTATTTTGTAGCAGCGGTTTAAGAACGCATGGAAGAGACACGGTGGCTGAGTGAGTGGGACGCTGGCTCGCTAGCCTGGAGGTCGCGGGTTCCATCACAGTGTAGGCCGAGAGGGTTCATCAGGATTTTCCGGCGTGGATTTCCATTGTTAGTGGTGCAGTACGGAGAGCTACTGTCTAGTCGTTCGGATGGGACGGAAAAACACGGTCCTGTCTAAACATTGACGTGCATGTAAAAGGTCCCTGGGCAGTTGAAATTCAATATAAGAGTAGGCCGTAACGCCGTTGTGCGGGCAATAACGCCCTTATCGATGACCATAACGCCCCTATTGGTGACCATAACTTAGTCTACCTATCAATACTTTACGCCCCCCCCCCCGCCGCCTCACACACACACCTTGTTTAATCTTTATAAACCCCCAACTACATTGTTTGGTCTCTATATAATCACAATAAATTGGCATTTAATATCTATCAGTATATTATTGGGTCAGACTAAAAAAGTAAATGCTGGGAAAGCAAACGCTCTATACAACGTGTAAATAACCTTTTGCTTTTTCTTACTTCCCTACTGACGCATGGGGCTCTCAGGGAACTGGATGGTGATAGTGGGGCCCAGTTGTAAGATGTAGCCAAGAAGACGTTCCTAGCGCAGCGACGTGAAACATTTTGGCTGCTTTAACTCTAGATATATAATATAAGTAGCTTATTGTTTCCAAAAAAAAACACCGGACAACATTGAAATGAAAGTTGATCAGTTTTGATTTTATTCAAAATTTTGTGAATCTGTTTTGTATTTAGCAATTGCTTTCTTTTATTTTAAATAAATTTGCGAATATGGCGTAGAAATAGAAAATTCTAAAAGTTTATAAATCTGGCCCAGAATCATATTCATTATTACTTGGTCATAGATATAAAATGTCAGTTATCTACGCGAATTGTCACTATTTCAGGACGTATTCTAGAGTAGTCTATTTAATATTTATTCAGGGGTGAAATATAATTCTACTTCAGGGCCCTCACATTTTCTTAGAGGGGGGGGGGGGGCATATGCCTGGGGTCGACACCTCTTGGGAGCGCCAAATTATCGAAGTGCATGCCAGAAATATTCAAAGAGGGGGGGGGCTTCTTTGAATATTAATTGAGTGGCCTCTTTGGAAGCGGAGATAACAAATCACCGGCCTTCGCTTCTTCTAGACCTGTATGTCTAAACCAGTTCATATTTCAGAGGGTAGAATTATGATTTTTCCAAGACATATTATAGGGTTTTTCGATCAAATGAAGAATTGAAGGGAAATAAACATAAAAAATTTACACATAAGTTGATTTAATAAATAGTTATTTAGATAAAGTCTTAAAAGTATATAAAAAAAATATATTTTAAAAATTTCTTTACCCATAAAAAGTCAACTGAGCGCAGGCACTGAACAATGCAGTATGCAAGGAGGGGGTGGGCGTCACTGAAACTCTCAACCTGGGGCTCCACATAGGCTTGTGAGAGCCCTGTTCCACTCCCTTCATTTATCTACCAGTCTTATAATTATTCAACATTATTTAGAACACGTTTGTTTTACATAAGATATATCGTCGTTAGTCCAAATGAAATCTAGATAATTACGCCGGGACCTTCTAAAAGGTAAGTTTAATAAGTTTTGCATTTACGATATAAGCGAGTTACCAACCTTGTGTCCATGGAAATACAAAAGTCGTCGGCCACTCGCTGTCTTAATTAAAACATACAAGCCGGTAACTCATTATTGCCGTAAAAACAACATGAAGTATTTCCGGTATAAAGTCCCAAAAGCACATTGCCCATGAGAAATACTAACATTAATGCCTGACGTGTGCAAAGTGACTAAACAAAAAACCCAAACCATATAGAAACTTTCCAACGTGTATTCTTTTATTAGTGTTTATAAATCATCATGGCGGACCGACTAATCATAAGACGAGCTACATTACAAGACTATCGGGGTGTTATGGATATTGGAGAGATTTATCAAGGAAGAGACTATCTTCCTGTGATGTATGAAAAATATTTAAAAGTGTTCAACTGTCGGGTTGCAGAAAAAAATGGAGAAATAGTAAGTTTATATTTTTCAATGAGCACATTCAAAAATTTGGAACAATAAAACATAACCCTTGTTGGCTGGTAATCAGAGGTTGACCTTATTTTTACATTCCACGAGCAAAATATTATATTCATAAAAATCATTCGCCAATTAACGTATATACGCATAGTCAGCCTCACATTTAAGCTGGGTTGTCTCATTTTTAGGTAAATAAAAAGCAAAATATCTATACTGTATAAATTCTATGAAATAATCAAGGTCATTAAACAAATACCATTATAGGAAATTTTGTTTGGGTAGTGCAAAACAAGGGTCGGTGGGGCGGGGTTGATGACGACAAGATACAATAACATGGTGTTCCCCAGGGCGTAGCTCTTGGACCTTTTTCGTTCATCCTATCTAAGTGTTTCAACCAAAGCATTTAATTATAAATAAAATATCTAGGAAAGACGACAGGAACATCTATGGAGGAAGAGATATTTTCACCCCCCCCCCCATCCCCCAAAGCAAATTAGCATACAAGTACGAATGAAATGGATAATTTTATATTCAACGCTGATTTAAGAGGAATGGTTGTGTTATGATCTATTATATCTAATTGAAATGAATCAATGTAAACTTCAAATGGCCAAAACGAAAGTTACATTGGATCGATTTGGTTTACACATACTTATTTATAATTGTATTTGTATTTATTCTGGCATTACCGCTTTAAGGCTAATGAAACAGTAATTTTAAAAATAATGTAAACCTCAAATGGACATGGTTGTTTATTATTAGGTGGGTTTTAATGGAGAACGACTGGTGGATGGTGGTATGACTTTGTGTAGAGCGGCAGCACGTGTGAAAGAGAATTACCAAGGTCAAGGTCTTTTGGCTGCCATATTGAAAGATGTTTATGATTTTTATCAAGATAAAAAATCAGTGAAATATGAAGCGATTGCTATTAGCAACGTCAGTATGGAAGTCAATGGTGATAAAATAAAGCGACGATTTACACAAATCTTACAAAGGGTATGTATATATCTAATGTTATCTCCTGTAATTAGCTCAAATAGTAAATAGTGACTGATTCATTTGATCTGATATCGTTTTTAATGTTCATTTTATACGCCCACACGTAGTTTGGGTGTATATTGTTGGCCTCTCGATCCGTCAATAATTGGCCAGTGATCTTTTTCAATATTGGTGTGACACATTGTGGGCATGAGAAAAAGAACCCTACCTATATTCAGCGTTCCTCGACTTTCCGTTCAAGAGTTTCCCTCCTTTGCCGAAATCCCTGTGATATAGCTAACAAAATTTGTCGCATGCTTTTCAAATTTAGAGTCATCAGAGGATAATGCCAATCAATGTTTGGATTTCCAGGAACTTCCGTTATAGCGAAAGAGGCTAAAGTCTGTAACGGATTCTTTCCAAATTTGGTGTGAAACATTGTGGTCATGAGAGGATTTTTAGTACCAGAGTTTCATTTTCATTTATACTTTGGATCCTTTCTTCTGTGTCAGGTTTGTGTTGAGATGACTGCAGAAATAGGATATTTTAAACCAAATAAAATTGAATCTGATCAAACTAAAGTTCAAGAGCTGACATCAGAAGATTTGATGGAAATATTCCAATCTAAGGAAATGTGTTCCAAATTATTTCCTGGAGAAAGAATTGTGCCGAACTGCTATCCCTATCGTCTGCTACCTGAGAATATTCCTCTAATGATGGACGGGTGTCAATTCTGGGGCACTAAAAGTTCCGACCAATCAACATACACGACACTGACGGTTACAGAACATTTTAACTTAGGAGAAAGATTGATGTTCAAACTTTGTATGTATGGCAGTGACGCAGTTGATATACAACAACATTGTCTGAAACATATACATAATCTGAATATATTGGTTAAAAGCGGAACATATACGTCTATTATGATTCACATAACTTACTCATTAGATTGTCAAGAAACGGGAACATTTTTATCAGATTTTGAAAAGTGTGGTCTTAATTTTAACGATGAGTTTCCTGTAACTAGAATGTTTCTATTTGAAAGGGTAATAAGATCAAATTAAAACTAACGATCAAGATAGAAACATAATTAACTCATCATTTATGATTATATATAATAATTTATGATTATATATAATAATTTATGATTATATATAATAATTTATGATTATATATAATAATTTATCATTACATTATAGCAATTTGAATGTAAATGCAAGAAAAATAATTTTGAATATCATATATATAACACATATTATAAATTTATTATACCGGACAGTGGTGGTCCTTTCACTGCCGGAATTACTCGAATGTCCTTTGCCCTTCCCTTTACAAACAAAAGGTACCCCTTTTCCAATGGGATTTGTTTTTCAATTTATAAAGTCCACTTACTGTGTCCAATTTATGTCGAATGCATAGGACTGTTGTTTCTTGAATAGGAGCCACTGTGGCTCAGTGAGGACAGCTGTCTAGTCGTTCGGGTGGTACTAAAAACTGGGATCCCGCGTGCACGTAAAAGATCCCTTGCAAGAGTAGGCCGTAGCGCCGCTTCCGAGCTTACTGTATGGCGTATGCCCGTCTTCATTAGCCCTAATTTTAGATAAGCCTTATATTACGATCACCGTTATCATTAGGTTTGTGGGTCCGCGGACTGAAACGACAGAAAAAATGAGGATAAAGCTATGATTAGTTACCACGTGCGCTTTATATCATACGGCCCGCTAACTATGTGCGGTGGTCGAGATGAGATGACATGAAATGGGGTTTAACCCCCTACTGCTCCGAACTGGGCTAATGAAGACGGGCAGTGTGTTATGAGGGAAATTTGGCCCGGACAGCGGCAATACGGCCTACTCTTATGTCGAATTCAAGCTGTCAAGGGATCTTTTACGTGCACGCCAATGTGTACACGGTAGCTCGGTTTTTCGTCCCATCCGAACGACTAGACAGCTGTCCTTGTCAGGCCCTCCATCCTACATCACTGACAAGGGGGGGGGGCACTTTCTCGGCCAATGCAGGAATCGAACACCCGACCTCCAGGCTAGCGAGCCAGCATCTTACTCGCTTAGCCACCGAGGGGTGCATTAAATTTAATGGCCATACGATAAATATGTCATCCAGGAAACGTCCATAGAACTAATATTTTAGTGCATGTCCGACCAAATATCCTTCATAGCACAACTGTCTTCGTTAGCCCAGTCCGTGCAAAAAAGTAAGTCGTTAAACCCTATTTCACTCCGATTGAGGAGAACTTATATAATGTCATTGCCTGTCGTTCAACCCGGTTCGTTTTATTGAATAAAGTAATGTTTAAACCAAATACTGTTATCAATAATTTGTGACATTTTGCATAAAGGGGGGTAACTCTTTGTATCCTAGTGTACCCATATCTTTTACGTTGTAGGTGTTCTTGTACGAACGTACTACGGGCCAGGAACTGACCATGGTGTTTGAGAGTATGGTTCATAGAGTTCCCACTCATTCGGTCCGTAGCTAGCGGGGGATGGGGGGGGGGGGGGCAAGAGAGGCGCGTTGTTCGTTGGCTTCGTATTGCGTCCAAATGAAAAGGGCACCATATGCGCCCATTGGGGGAACCGATTTTTTCCAGGGAAGGCAACTGGTCAGATCTTCATGTAGTGTAGGTCATCGAAAGTATAAAAAAACGAAACGAAATATAGATCTGTATTTTAATCAGATTGGTTCATATTTAATATGTTATCATTGCTTGATACAGACAACAGAATATTAGTAGAAACTTCGTGGGTGTTGGATGGCCGAATGGTTAGCGCGTGCGCGTTGTATCATAAGGTCTGTCACTGAGTGCATAATTTGAAATTAAAAGTGAATGATTTATCACTATTTGGTCATACATATTAAATGGTAGTTATTTATTAATATCACACTTTACCCATCAGTACTATGTTCAATAATCTTTTTACAAATATCACATGTATCACTATTTAGTTATACATATTTAATGGTAGTTACGTACGTGCATTTACACTACATCTTTTAAACATCTACCTTTAAAAATTAACGCCGCAATGCTAGAGTAGTCAATGTGTTTAACAGAAAATTTCTCAAGGTTATATAAGGTTCTGTTCCCTTTATTTTATTTCTCAGTCTTATTCAACGATAGATAAAGTAGCAACGTTACAATATAGGTCAAATATGTGAGTTGTGTCTAATTATTCAACAATAGATAAAGTAGCAACTTTAAAATATAGGTCAAATATGTGAGTTTTAGTATAGTATTATTCTTGTTTCTACTTTATGTTTTTATACCCTATATATCGCTATTACTAAGTATTACTTCTAGATATTAAGATGCATAAAGCGATATGGGATATTACATCTACATAAGATCAAATACAAATGTAAGTTTTTTACGATGCAGAAAGCGATATGGGATGGATTCGGTCTTAACGTCACGCAAACATTGGCAAACTCTGTCACATTTATGATATTTTATAGTTTCGTCTCTGCTCGAAAAGTAGGGCTTCATGCATATTCCTGGAGCAATGGCCCGATTGCTGGATTGACTTCTGATACTTGAGCCTTTGAGGGCGTACATGTCTATTCTTCCCTTTCAATCAAATATCTCCTACAGCAACATACGTGACAGCCCTTCGTTTAATCTGGGGGTCTTGTCTAAAAGTTTGGGTTCTATTTCAGTAAAGTACCTCTACCAGTTTTCAGGGGATGTTCAGGGGGACTAGCCATGACCACACTAAATTTCAGACGAATAGGTCAATTACTTTTTATTTGACCGTAGTTTAACTTCTACCGAGAGAAAGGTTTATCCGATTTTGAAGCCATTTTGTTTGTTGACTATTTAGACTCGAATGACAAGACACTAAGGCGGATTCCGACACACTGCGCTTCCTGCCTAACGCTGCAGTTCATGATAATAACAATAATTTTCGTATATTTAATTGTTCTGCTAAGCCACCAATTTCTATAAACGACTATTTGGCGTTGACCAGTTGGACTGGCATTTACGTGTGAATATCGCCGTGACCTTGACTTTGGCCCGGACTTCAAATTTTCTATCGAGCTCGGAGCGTTTGCGTTTATGGATGCCATGGCAATCGCGGTCGACCTTTACCGGCGTTATTGCACTTTTGCACCACCCTTACTACGATTCGGTGAACTGTACATTTTTCGGGCAATGTATTTCCGTTTTTCGGACACAGACATCAGTGAACAGTATATTTTATATTGTAGATCAATAACGTATGGGGTTCAATGGGTTCGCACATGTGGGGCTTTAAATTGGTTCTATGCATTTAAATAAATACTTTACATGTATATAATATAATCTTAATATGATACATGTTATGGGTCTCTTTGTCACATGATTAAGACACCGTGGAATAACATTTGTGGAAAACTCGTTCTAGTTAATGTTGGATTTATTCTGAAAATTCGGGTGACAAAGAACTTTTCTGGCAAACCTACGATATTAAATGGATTTGAACATCCGCGAGATTTAAATAAAATTAACGATAAAATGAATAATCGAGACTTAATCTCGGTTGTCACGTATAATTGCTTGCTACAATAATAATCGATCTACGCCCACATCGCCCAATATAAAGTAATTTGAAAGCAATATTTCATTTTTAAACTTTTGTAGCAAGCAAGACCGGCTATATTTCTAAATCTTGCACAATGCATCTTCAAGGGCATCACATGACACAGTTAACTATCGGAAAGTCTATGTTTTTCTTCTCTGGATGTTGCCATTTTGTATGTCACATGATCGATAACTATACCACGTGAACTATTTACAGAATCTGATTGGTTAATGGCTTGCAGTTGTTCAAGTTTTCTTCGATAGAGAGTACAGATGATCATACACTTGTACATGAGACATCATCATACAAATGTGTGAATATGTTTTGAACAGATGTGTGTGATCGTCACTGAGAAATAGAAACATAAATGCCGAAATCCCAAAACATATAGAAATTTTCAAACTCTCATTCTTTTAATAGATTTACTAAATGAACATGGCGGACGGTCTGATCATAAGACGAGCTACATTAGAAGACTATCGGGGTGTTATGGATATTGGAGAGATTTATCTAGGACGAGATTATCTTCCTGTGATGTATGAAAAGTATTTAAAATGGTTCAACTGTCGGGTGGCAGAAATAAAAGGCGAAATAGTACGTTGAAATTCTCATTATATTTGGAGCCATTTGCCAATAGATAATTGGGGCACAAGCGCGATGACATGGGGGTGGGGAGTGTCGGACGTATATGGTGTGGGCGTATATGGCTGGGAAACAGGGGCGCCATCTTAACCTCATGGGTTTACTCCGGTTTCCGCCCACAGGTGCGCTAAGATAAAAATAAGACAACTTGTCTGCGATATCACCCTCGGTGGAAGCGGATGTTAAACACAAATTAGAAGAAGAAGGGGCGATGCCAAATTACATAATCATATCCCAGTGGGCCCTAGGACCATAACCATACCATTGAATTACAAGTATGTAGGAAATAACCCTAGGGACTACTTAAAATATACGTGGCATGTGTTCCAAGTGTCATCTACTAGATCCCTAGCATTTTAAGTCTATTAAACATACATTATGCAAGAGCTAAATCTGTCTATTGCAGGTCTTTCTTCATTAGGCCTGAAATGTTATCTAAAATATTAATTAGACATTAATTAACTTATCCAGAATATAATCAACTCTAGTGGATTATGAGCCGATTTACTGCATAACTTTCTTTCACGATTTAACGAGTAAGTGGATAATCGAGACTATGCTGTTTATCGTGCTGACTTTAGTAATGATGATCGAGACGAGGCGGAAATTTCAGTCGCTTCTCCCCTCGGTTCATAGTGAATCAATTTGAATGAAATTTTCAGCAAATGGCCTTTACATTATCTAGTTTTTAACTATTATAGTGAGAACTGCCACCTCGTTATCGAATCTCCCATAATGTATCTTTAAGTAATAATCCTTTGATTGTCTGTTATGGCGCTCTTGTGTATGTACTGTTGTATAGGTATCTATGGACGACGACAGCTTGTCGTCGCACAAAGGGGATCAATAAATTTATTTCATTGCGCACCCAATCCAAACGGTATGAGTGTGCAAATATTTTAGTATCTGTATTTACCTCTTTAAGGCCATTTAATATCTATGTCCAAAAAGTGATAAACTCCATTTCATTTCATTTGTTATTAGGTGGGTTTTAATGGAGAAAGACTGGTGGATGGTGGTATGACTTTGTGTAGAGCGGCAGCACGTGTGAAAGAGACTTACAAAGATCAAGGTGTTTTGGCTGCCATATTGAAAGATACTTATGAGTTTTATCAAGATAAAGAATCGGTGAAATATGAAGCGATTACTATTAGCAACGTCAGTATGGAAGCGAAAAGTGACAAAATAAAGCGACGATTTACAAGACTCTTTGAAAGGGTACAACTTTTTATATTGCATATCTATCAAAAAGGATATCGCCTTTAATTAGCTCACGTAGTAAATAGTGACTGGTTAATTATATCTGATATCGTTTTTCAAGTTCAATTTTATACGTCCACGCGTAGTATATTTGTCGTCACCCTCTCAACCCGTCCGTCAACAACTGGTCTGTGAACGTGAAAGGGCCTACATTTTTTGACGGGTCTATTGATATTCAGCGTTCTCGACTTTCCGTTACAGAGTTATCCCCCTTCGTTGAAAACCCTGTGAGTGCGATAGAGAATACAGCTTTCGTCGGATTCTTTTCAAATGTGGTTTGAAGCATGGGGTCATGAGAACATAATGCCTACCAATGTTCAGCTTCCCACAACTTAACTTTCCGAGGTTATTTGGTTTGAAACACTTTGGTCATGAGAATACAAACCCTATCGATCTTCAGTGCGCCGGTGATTTCCGTACCAGAACCCGTTCCATATTCACTTTCATTTATACTTTTGATCTTTTCTTCTGTCCCAGGTTTTTCTGGAGATGGCTATAGAAGTTGGGGATTTTAAACCAAAAACAGTTGAATTTGATCAAACCGATGTCCAGGAACTGACATCAGAAGACTTGGGTGAAATATTCAAATCTAAAGAAATGTGTTCCAAATTATTTCCTGGAGAAAGAATTGTACCGTCTGCTACCTGAGAATATACCTCTAATGATGGATGGGTTTAAATTCTGGGGCACTAAAGGTTCTGATCAATCAACATACACAACACTGACTGTTACGGAACATTTCAAGTTAAGAAATAGATTGATTTTCAAAATTTGTATTTATGGAAGTGACACAGTTGATATACAACAACATTGTCTGAAACATATACATAATCTGAATATATTGGTTAAAAGTGGTACATGTACGTCTATTATGATTCACATAACTTATTCACTAGATTGTGAAGATACCGCGACATTTTTATCTGTATTTGAAAAGAGTGGCCTTAAAATTATCGATGATATGGGCGTGAATAGAATGATTATGTTAGAACGGAAAATAAGATGAACTGCTACATCATATCAGCAATAATTGAACTTAACAATTGAATTGTAATTTTAATTTTAATAACTTTATGATTATTAAGTAATAATTTCATTGTTGTTCTTTTAATTAATTTCTGTTTTAATGGATTTTAATTATTTATTTTTATTTTTTTATGATTACAATATTATTATTATTATTATTATTATTATTATTACAGCATATTTATAGTCCTCGCTTTCATATAACATATTCAGGGGCACTTTACAAAGTGACAATATAATCATAAAGAAACAACAAGATTATTGACATGTTAACAGTTGTATACAGAGTAAATAGGAATTTATATTTAAGTAAGGTCGCCAGAAATAAATCTTTTATTCCATATAATTGTGTCATGTGTTAGTCTCATTTAGTTACTAAATACCGTTTAAACAACTTATATATATAGTAATTTAATTATATATAATACGTTATTGTTTATTATGTTAATTACTTTATGATTAATAATTGTAATAAGGTAACTGGCTGTGAGTCTTCTAAAACACGTAAAAGATGGAATTCGATATAATAGTAGAGTAGACCGTAGCGCCGCTGTCCGGGCAAAATTTCCCCATAGCTTATTGTATGGCGTATGCCCGTCTTCATTTAACTCAGTTGAAGCAGAACAGTAGGACGCTAAACCCCATTTTATTTTATTTACATCTTCCTCAACTTGAAAAGAGAACAATAGGACGTTAAACCCCATTCCATGTCATTTACATTTACATCTATCTCAGCTGACCTGTAATGGAGATCACGGCGAACTAGGGCTATATAGAAGTGTCGTAGAACAGCTAAACGTGACCATACACATATAGGGAGGTAAATGTATACCTTGACAATTTCAAGGAGTATAATAATCGAGATAATGTTTAACCTGGGAATAAAAGTGTAGGAAGTAGAACCTCGGATTAACTTAATACTTTCTTATTCTCACATTCTACCCATCAGTACTATGTTTAGTTATCAATACAAATAGCATATTCTACTCATTGGTACATTGTACACAATTCTATTAAATAATGTTACACTATGTACAATAATCTACATGTATTAACAAATATCACACTTTATTCATCAGTACTATGTTCAATCATCTAATTAGAAATATCACATTCTACCCATCAGTACTATGTTCAATTATCTATTAACAAATATCAGTACATTGTTTAATAATATGTACAATAATATGTTAACAAATATCACACTCTACCCATCAGTACTATGCTCATTAATCTTTTTACAAATATCACATTCTACCCATCAGTACTATGTTTAATAATATTTTTACAAATATCACACTCTACATGTCAATACTATGTTCAATTATCTTTTTACAAATATCACATTTATCACTATTTGGTTATACATATTAAATGTTAATTATGTACGTGAATTTACACTACATCTTTTAAACATATCATATTTAAAATGCTAGAGTAGTAAGAGTGTTTAACACAAAATATGTATTCAGAGGTAGACAATAACTCCACATACATCAATATATGGGAAAGCGGCAACTACAGAGGAGCTTCTGCTGCTCCCTTTATTTCATCTCCCAGTCATATTCAACAATATGTAACATAGATAAAGAAGCTACTTCACAATACAGGTCGCGACTGACTTGTATACTATGGAAGGATAACATTGCCAGTATTAATTCAATGTTCACGGTGCAAAATGCATATGTCAGCTGTTCAAAATACATATTTTGGTTTTACAATTTGCAATTTCCATTGCTCCACATTACAACTGTCACAGTATTAAAATACAGAACACATTTGTCAATAATACAAAATACAGTATAATAGTTATTTTCCACATTACACCTCTCCATTCTGCATTTTGAATAATGGACAAATGCATAATAGAACTTAGCATATTAGAACATATACCTGTGTCAATGGGTTTGTGGAGCAATGGAAATTGCAAATTTTAAAACTAAAATACGTATTTTGAAATGCTGACAGATGCATTTTGTATATACATGTATAGTGAACATTGAAATAATATTGGCAACGCTATCCTTCAATAGTATTATTTATAGATAGCCAGGACTTGTTACTACCTATGGTTTTATACTATATATATCATCATTACTAAGTATGACATCGACATAAATTGAGATCAACTTAAAAGGTAAGCTTCTACGATGCACAAAGCGATATGGGATGAGAGAGAGAAATGGGTTTTAACGCCCACTCGACACAAACTAGGTTATTTAGGGACTAACATATGGTTCAATTATATTACAATAATTCGTTTGCGTGTCTTTAGCAGTGGAAGGAAACCGGAGGACCCAGAGAAAACCCACAAAGTTGGACTCCTTGTGAAGTACATCGGAGCAATCGAAGACGCGCCCGTTGACTCAATGACATACCTTATGATACATCACACACGTGCTAACCATTCGGCATCCAACCTCCCGATATGAGATGGATTTGGTCTTAACTTCACGCAAACATGTTTAACGTAATTTGAGAGGTGTGTCCTATATATTGACACAGTCGGACACATGTATGATATTTTATAGTTTCATCACTACTCGAAAAGTAGGTTTTCACGCTGATCGCTAATACATTAACTATAGCCTACAGATGTCATCCATGGTGCAGGATATGTTGTGTCCCTCTCTCTCTTAAACACCCGATACCACTTCTACAAACTTATGTAGAAATTGTTTCTACCTACAATCTATTCGAATCTCAGAATTCTAAGACCAGCATCGCGTGCATGTAGAGATTATACAGACATTCCTGATATATAGGTACGTTATTACCGTAACAACGATATGTATGTCGGAAACTGGTTATTGCCCTAACTCGTTGTTGCTGTATAAATACAGCATGCACCTCGGTAACTCGTTATTAACGTAACTACGACATGCACGTCGGTAAGTCGTTATTACCATAACTACAACATGCACGTCGGCAACTCGTTATCACTTTATAAATACAGAATCCACTTAAAAAGCTCTTCTCGTTATTACCGTTCATACCACATAACGCACATGTCCGGTTCACATGACGAAAAAAAAGGTGCAGTATTCCCCAAACCCCGTACAGACGACCATACATTTGTATAATAAGATGCAGACTTTCGTCCACATTTGTGAAACAAACACAAATTTGGTGGTACATGTTTTTAAAATTGCATCACTTGACACGGTTAACTATTGAAAAATCCATGTTTCTTCTCTGGGTGCTGCCATTTTGTATGTCACATGACCGGCAGCTATACCATATGAACTATATACAGATTCTGATTGGTTAATGGCTGCTGGGGAGAGAGTACAGATGATCATACACTTGTACATGAGACATCATCATACAAATGTATGAATATGTTTTGAACAAACGTGTGATCGTCACCGAGAAATAGAAACATAAATGCCGAAACCCCAAAACATATTGAGACTTTCAAACTCTCATTATTTTAATAGATTTACTAAATGAACATGGCGGACGATCTGGTCATAAGATCGGCAACTTTACAAGATTATCGGGGTGTTATGGATATTGGAGACGTTTATGAAGGACGAGATTATCTTTCTGTGATGTATGAAAAATATTTAAAATGGTTCAACTGCCATGTTGGTGAAATAGATGGTGAAATTGTAAGTAATGTTTCTCCGACTATGTTCTACTGTTCTGGTCCCGTGTACATATTGGCGTGCACGTAAAAGAACCATTAACAATTGGAATTTGATTTAAGAGTAGGCTGTAGCAGCGATGTCAGGGCAAATGTCCCCATAGCACAGTGAGCAGAAATTCGCCCGTATATCCGTTATCACTCGTCACATCAGTCAGTTATATAGAGAGATGACTCGTGTTTTCCTTTGGCGTTCGTCATTTCCGACTCAGGAAACCTGTATTACTCAGCTATCGTAGCAATGATCTCTGTGTTAAAATTATATTTGGAATGTGTTTAGCCAGCTCTATCACATATGTGATAATGACTGGCACCAATATTGTCCTTTAAATGCGGTTCGCAAATCAGCTTCCAATATCACAATCACCCAATTAAAATATTAGAAATGATGACTTACAGAGAATATCTAGTGTCACTTATTTGGTAAATAATTTATTTATAGGTAGCTTTCAATGCAGATAGATTGGTAGATGCCGGTGCAACTATAGCAACCGCGGCTGCACGTGTTAAAGAGGGTTACCAAGGTCGAGGAATTTTAGCAGCCATTTTGAAACATGTGCACGATTCGTATATAAATCTTAAGACGGTAAAATATGAAGTTATGACAATTAATAATACTAACGTGTATGGTGAAAGAATAAAACGAAAGTTTACACAGATTTTAGAAAGGGTAAGCATCTTGAAAGAAATACAAAAATAAAATCTGTGCATAATCAACCAGAGTTGACACAACTGAGCGAAATTAATACGACTGCTTTTGTCCTTTGGTGTTGTTTATCCCACGATTAAAAGGTGGTCTCAGTCAAAATCGATTAAATTCTCGACAAATGTCTATCAATATCATTATTATTTTTAATATGATCACCGAAAACCTTTTAACTTCCTACTTTTTCTTCACAATCTTCTTTAGGCCTTAAATATTATCTAAATTAATGATTAAACATTAATTCACTTACCAAGACTATAATTAACTCGTGATGCCTGAGATGTTTAGTGTTTTGTGCTGGATGAAATAACCACAATAATGGACAATCGAGACTTTGTTTAATATCATAACAATGGTAGTAATGACGATCGTGGCTAGCCTAAAATAGAATCGCTAATTTCTAAGTTCAGAGCAAAGCAATTTGACTGAAATTTTCAGCATATTTTGTTGTCATTATCTACTTTTTAACCTTTATAGCAAGAATTGCCGGCTCTTTATCTAGTCTTGCCTACTGCCCCTTTAAAGTGTATATGCATAGTTATGTATCCCGGTTGGAGCTGACGTGCCATAAAACTACATTTCATTTCACAAGGATAATTATGTCGAATTAGCTAAAAGTAATACCATCTAATAGCATTTGCCATTTTCATTTATATGGGAATGGTTAGCGCGTGCGCGTTGCGTCATAAGGTATGTCATTGAGTCAACTGGCGTGGTTTTGATTCCCCGGTTGTACGTGACAAGGAGTAGCGTCGACTGTCCAACCTCGTCAGTTTTCTTCGGGTCCTCCCGTTCTTCCCACTTATAAAGACCCCTACGCACAAGCAAATCATTGAAATAAAATAGAACCATATGTTAGTCCCCAAATGATCTAGTTTATGTCAAGTGGACGTTAAACCCCATTTCTCTGTCTTCATATGTTATGTTATAAATTTCTCTTTTACTTTTTCAGGTAGTTGTGGAGATAATTGGAGAAATAGGAGATTTTAAACCAAATAAAATTGAATCTGATCAAACTAAAGTTCAAGAGCTGACATCAGAAGATTTGAAGGAAATATTCCAATCTAAAGAAATATGTTCCAAATTATTTCCTGGAGAAAGAATCGTGCCGAACTGGTATCCCTATCGTCTGCTACCTGGGAATATACCTCTAATGATGGACGGGTGTCAATTCTGGGGCACGAAAAGTTCTGAGCAATCAAAATACACGACATTGACTGTTACAGAACATTTTATCGTAGGAGAAAGATTGGAGTTCAAACTCTGTATTTATGGGAGTGATGCAGTTGATATACAACAACATTGTCTGAAACATATACATAATCTGAATATCTTGGTTAAAAGCGGAACATGTACGTCTATTATGATTCACATAACTTATTCACTAGATTGTGGAGATACCTCGACATTTTTATCTGTGTTTGAAAAGAGTGGCCTTAAAATTAACCATGATTTGGACGTGAATAGATTGATTCTATTAGAACGGAAAATAAGATAAATTTCTAGAAATATAACACATTACATCATATCAGCAATAATTGAACTTAAAAATTGAATTGTAATTTTAATTTTAATAACTTTATAATTATTAAGTAATCATTTCGATTGTTGTTATTTTAATTAATTTCTGATTATATCAATTGGATTTTAATTATTTATTTTTTTATGATATTATTATTATTATTATTATTATTACAGCATATTTATAGTCCCCGCTTTCATATAACATATTCAGGGGCACTTAAAATGTCCATGTAATCATAAAGAAACAACAAGACTATTGACATGTTAACAGTTGTATACAGAGTAAATAGGAATTTATATTTAAAGTAGCTAAGTCTCTAATTCAATATCATCCAAAACCTTCGACAATGGAAACACGAATTAATTGTCAATTTTAATCAACATTGGTGTTGTGATCTTACCGGGAAAAGATGGGTTTCTGATATCCAATATTTAAGACAAAATAAACATTTTACGGTTGGTACACGAATCGTGTATCATAATGCGTTTCAGCGCAATTTGTAACAAGCGACTCGGAAGAACGAGGTTAGACATATTCCACAAGTCATGTCGAACGGTGACCCCATATTCTTCTCTGGAGAGCATGCGCAATAAATACTATCGGTGTAGACTGGAATAACCAGACGCTAGAGATTGCCATTAGAATGAGACTTCTGGAGTATTTCGCTGAACATAACTGTTTTGAAATTAAAGTAAAAACGGAAAAGATTGAATGTAAATCAGTTTTTTACATTCATATTACATTATTATATACGTTGCGACCCATTTGTGTCAATTTGTAGGTCCCAAATATTAACGATTTAGCTCCTTTAATTAAGTAAGGTCGCCATATAATTGTGTCATTAAATAGTCTCATTTAGTTACACAATACCGTTTAAACAACTTATATATAGTAATTTAAATATATGTAATACTTTATTTTTGATTATGTTAATTACTTTATGATTATATACTCTCCAAAAAAAGAAACGCAATGTGAAATTTCGTCGTCGGTATACCCTCACTCTACCATCGCCTCGTTGCAATAGGAACCGCGACACATCGTTGAACCAAACTGCTCTACAGTGTTGTTGGGGCCATAATATTCGTGTCTGAACCCACCGAAATTGGATTTCACGATGTCGGCGTTTTACAAAACATCAGCTCTAACGGGAACGTCTGGCTCGTAATCCGGTTTCACGTAGGCGTTTACAAACTGTCTGGTCTGAGATTCTACGCCCTCCGGGAATTGCTGCTGCAGTAGAGGTCGCTGTTGAGAACCGTTTCCGCAAATGACATAACCGGAATTGACGATCCAGGACAGGTGGGGTCACTTTTGTTGGACCTGAGCTTGGGCGGTCACGTGTTGAACTTCGGTGTCGGTACCTATCCCAAAGGCGAGAAATAAAACTCGGGGAAACATTCAGCAGACTGGCTACATCTGTCTGGGATTCACCTGCTTGTAATCAACCAATAACGTTGTTGCGTTGGTCTTCGTTCAGATGTGGCATCATCTGGTTCGTTGAGTGTTTACATGTGCAACTGATTTGGAAACCGAGAACCCAGGGATTTTAAAGGCCTTAGATTTAGGTTCCATGCGAAAAGCTCGCGAAGTTGTTAAATTAATGTGTCTTGGTGCAATCAAGCGAAAACACATTTTGGCAAAAATGATGACTAGTCACAATTAGTGACCCTACATTTAAAACCAATAGTGAATTTCTTTTATCCTTACACAAATAAAAAAAATGATCAAAATATGAGCTGTGCGTTTCTTTTTTTGAAGAGTATATATTAGTCTGATTTAGTTACTAAATACCGTTTAAACAACTTATATATAGTAACTTGATAATATATAATATTTTATTTTTGATTATGTTAATTACTTTATGATTATATACTAGTCTCATTTAGTTACTAAATACCGCTTAAACAACTTATATATAGTAATTTAATTATACATTATTTTTGATTATGTTATATGATTATATATTGTAATATGGTGACTGGCTGTGATTCTGCTAGGAATAAAATTGAACCATATGTTAGTTCCCAAATGACCTAGTTTGTGTTGAGTGGAGGTTAAACCCCGCCTCTCTCGGTCTCTCATTTGATCGGTCAGACACATGATACTTTTTATATATCTAGTTTCTTTGGAGGAGTGTAGGCCCCATTCAGTGAAATGTGAAATTTCAACGTTCAATGAGTCATTCCCATCCCATGTAAAACATACAAATTATACAGATAAATTCAACAGATATACAAAGTACATTGAAGTCCATTTCATTTCATTTGATCAACCAGGCACGTTTCTTGTTCTATATCTAGCTCCTATGGAGTAGTGTAGGCCCCATTCAGTGAAATGGCAACGTTCAATATTGACACTATGCTGTGTCGCGGTTCCAAATAAAAACGCCTGTGACACTGCGGGGTAGATATGACTATCCTTCGTCACGGCACTAAAGAGGAATTACCTGTGACATTATCGTTTAGGACTTTCTTTGACTTCACGTTGTGTGATCAATTATTTCAGTCATCAATTAACTGACTCTGGAACACCGTTTATGTTGTTACTAAGTTTATATAACAAATACAGCAAACTACAAAGTTAAATACAGGAAAACTACTACATCTATTATAGAAACCTTAAACTTTATTAAAATATCTACGGTCTGAGTTTAGCATCCTTTACAACTCAGACCTAACGGTTTAAATAATACATTTTGTCTCTATACCAGTCTCTCAACCGAGGCGGCTGTGGGTATGATGTTCTCCTCTCGGGCTGCTCTATGATATCTTCTCTACAGTCTTGTCATGATGTCTGAGGGTAAATCAAACCCGCTCTCTCCCATATAGAAGTATAATGCGTCAGCTATTAAGGCGGGACAATTACCATTTTTGGGTAAGTGTTTCGTATAGGCACCGTTTTACGTCAACACTATTCTAGTTAATTGTACTAATCTGAGCATGAGATGACTGGACGATAGTACCCCACTTTCCAGAAATGGATACTGACATAACTTAGTCTAAGAAAGTAGTAGATTAATGCAAGGTACTTAACTGACCTAGTTTTCGTCACACATCATGTAGTTAAAGAATTTCTATATTAAACTGAACACCTTTCTTATAACTAAAATAACCTTTATAGTATTGCACAATGGGTCATTTTCATCCAAAATTCATACAAATTAATAACATATAAATTCTATGTCTTTGAATTGTCAGTCCGGAACGTTCTGAATTGACGGGATTGCAATCGCGTGACGTAGAATTCAGTCCTTTCATAGTTATGTCAGTCTCGACAACTAGGGTGGTGTGAGTAGAATCCCGACGTAATTAAGCACAACGAATAGATGCATGTTTCAGCTGTCATGGTTGATTGAGATATTTTCTCATGCAGTCGGCGCATACGTTCTAGTCCCAAATTCCCATTTTCATTCGAATGTCAATATTTTGGGGTTTGACAGAATTCAATTCCGGAACGTTCAATCGAGCATCCCCAATGTGATATACAAAGGTATGCTGTGACACAATCATTTTTAAAGAGGCAACCAGGAAATAATAACTTTATGTACTCGAATGTATTCAGCTCAATACGAGTGCAAGTATGAAACACACAAACATACAAGTCAATACTAAAGATTCAAATTAATTAAGGTTATATGATTATAAAAACGTGACAGTGATATAAGTTTGGTCTCCCCCGGGGTAACTAGTTAAATGTCTATTATTGGTCATCATCGATTAAAATAGCTTAGTCTCTAACCCAGTTTCATCTAAAGTCTTCGACATTGAAAACATGAATTATTTGTCAATTTATATTGTGATCTTACCGGGAAATGGTGGACTTCTGATATCCAATATTTAAGACAAAATAAACCTTTTCCTTGATGCGTTTCAGGTCCATTTGTAACGAGTGACTCGAAGAACGAGGCTAGACATATTCCACAAGTCATGTCAAACGGTGACCTCATATTCTTATATAGAGAGCATGCGCAATAAATACTATCGGCGTAGAATGGAATAACCAGACGCTAGAATTGCCATTCGACTGAGACTTCTGGCGTATTTGAAATTAAAGTAAAAAAGGAAACGATGTAATGTTAATCATTTATATTCATATTATATTAGCGTTTAATCTCCTTTACTTGTATATGATGTCCATTCATTTTTAATATGCTACAGACACTTGCGAGATAAGGATTAGAGAAGCCTAGTCGAAACGGCATTCAGTAATTCCATAGGATTATGACTGCGTTCAAGGGTAAGGCTTTCTTCCCTCAATGGATTATTGATTCATTTACATCTCAGAGCCACGGTGGCTAATAGAGTAGGGCACTGGATCGCTAGCCTGGGGTCGCGGATTCGCTCCCAGTGTGCATCGGCATTTTTCGGCATGTGACAGCTGTCTGGTCATTCGTATACTCATTAGCGTGCAGGCAAAATGATAGCTTGGCAGTTGGAATTCAATATACGAGTGACCGTAGCGCCGCTGTCTGGGCAAAATTTCCCCCATAACACACTATATGGCGTATGCCCGTCTTCATTTAACTCAGTTGAAGCAGAACAGTAGGATGCTAAACCCCATTTTATTTTATTTACATTTAACTCAGCTGACCTCCGATGGAGATCATGGCGAATTAGGGCTAAACGTGACCATGCATACTTTGACGATTCCAGGGAGTATAATAGTCGAGATAATGTTTAAACTGGGAATAAAAGTGTAGGAAGTAGAACCTTGGATTAACTTAACACTTTCTTGTTCTCCGTATATAACAATCTATTAACAAAAATCACACTCTACCCATCAGTACAATGTTCAATTATCTATTAACAAATATCACATTGTACACATCAGAACTATGTTTAATTATCTATTAATAAAATATCACATTCTACTAATCAGTACTACGTACACAATTCTATTAACAAATATCACACTCTATGTTCAAAAATATCACATTCTACCCATCAGAACAATGTTCAATCGTCTTATTAGAAATATCACATTCTACCCATCGATACTACGTACACAATTCTGTTAACAAATATCACACTTTATGTGCAATAATCTATTAACGATACATTATTTAAGAGTTTAATAAAGAGTTGGCGATTTTTTGCTATAATAATTCAAAAATAGATGATAAAAAAGAGAATATTGAAAATTCCATTCAAATTACTTAATTGTGAGCCAAATTATCACTGTTTGTAGTTTTGACAAGATGTGTGCATAGTGATAACCAGGGCACGGGTATATTCGAGACTTGGCCTCGCTTTCCCATGGCATGTTTTAAATTAAATTTTTAAATGGCGAACCGTTATAATCTAGTTAAAATCCGATGCCATCGAAAGTTGATTATGGTCTTGGTTTGTTAATAAATGTCTAATTAATAGTTTATATAACATTTCAGGCCTAAAGAAAGACCTGCAATAGGTAGATTTAGCTCTTGCATAATGTATGTTTAACAAATATCACATTGTACCCATCAGTACTATGTTGAATTGTCTTTTAACAAAAAATTATCCTTTTTACAAATATCACAGTTATCACTATTTGTTTATACATATTAAATAGTAATTATGTACGTGAATTTACACTACATCTTTTAAACATATCATATTAAAATCCAAGAGTAGTAAGTGTGTTTAACAGAAAATATGTATTCAGGGGTAGAAAATAACTCCATATACATCAATATATGGGAACGCGACAACTACTCCCTTTATTTCATCTCCCAGTCACATTCAACAATATGTACAATAGATAAAGAAGAAACTTTACACTACTTGTATTCTTTATAGATAGCCAGGACATGTTGCTGCATGGTTTTATACTATATATATCGTCATTACTTAGTATGACATTGACATAAATTAAGATCAAATAAAAAGGTAAGGTTCTACGATGCGGTTACTGATAGATTATGCAATGTGTAAAAATGTTAACCTGTTTATAACGTACGTAGACTTTTCTAAAGCCTATGACAAGGTACCCCGTAATGCCCTCATCCATACATTATCCCGATTAGGCTGTGAATATCTAATGGTAACCGCTATAGCGTCAATGTACTCAGATACTAGGATGGTACTGGACGCAGCATCAATACTGGCAACGATGGGAGTCCGACAAGGATCCCTCTCCAGTTGTTTTCTATTTAATTTGTACATAGATGATTGTCCGTAATCTTCACCGTCTATGCCCAAACGATGATTTTATGAAGTGGGTACACGCTCTTTTATTGATGGATGACACCATTTTATTAACAACTAGAGAGATGGCTGTATTAACAAACTAAGGATACTGAACGATTCCTGCACACGGTCAGGTATGGTGATGAACCAAAAGAAGACTAAGTTTATGGTTATTAATGGTAAACACGATGATTGTATGAAGGAATGAAGGACGACCATTTCATGGAAATTTGGCATAACGCGCAGTACCTAAATGAATTATTAAACGATAGAAGTGACATTTGTAAATTAGATTGTGAAAAACGCAAAACATTGGCCCGGTTGTCAGATAGTAGCACAACGGGGTATATAAACAATTTAACCCCGAGTTCTCCGTACATCAAATGTACATCGTAAATATTCTAGAACATGATCGTATAGCCACTACGAGGTTACAGGACAATATTGGTGCCAATCATTATCACATATGTGATAGAGCTGGTTAAACACATTCCAAAAATAATTTTAACACAGAGATCATTGCTACGATAGCTGAGTAATACAGGTTTCCTGAATCGGAAGTGACGAACGCCAAAGGAAAACACGAGTCATACCTCTATATAACTGACTGATGTGACGAGTGATAACAGATACACGGCCGAATTTCTGCTCACTAATAATTCCTTCGAAGACCAAAAGTTGTTATATGACTGTAAGAGGATACCTGACAATTCAATACAGTAATTGAATGTCATTAGATAAGAGAACACGAGAAACATAGAAATAGTCCGTACATTCCCTTGTTTATATTCATTCTATACCTTATAAAAACATGGTAATGCACGGACGATTTCTGTTTTTCTTTCGTGTTCTCTTATCTAGTGACAGTCAATTCTTTTTATGAATTGTCAGATATCCTCTCACAGTCTCACACAACAACTATTGGGCTTGGAAGGGGTTATTAGTGAGCAGAAATTCGCCTATGTATCTGTTATCACTCGTCACTTCAGTCAATTATATAGAATGATCGTAGCAATGATCTCTGTGTTAAAATTATATTTGGAACGTGTTTAATTAGTTCTATCACATATGTGATAATGCCTGACACCAATATTGTCCTTTAAGACTCTCGTCTCATGAGATTTTCAAACTCTTATTTTATTAGATTTACTAAATGAACATGGCGGACGATCTGGTCATAAGATCAGCAATTTTAGAAGATTATCGGGGTGTTATGGATATTGGACATCTTTATGGAGGACGAGATTATCTTCCTGCAATGTATGAAAAATATTTAAAATGGTTCAACTGCTATGTTGGTGAAATAGATGGTGAAATTGTAAGTAATGTTTCTCCGACTATGTTCTACTGTTCAGGCATTTATTTTTATCATAGTTCATCGGTATTTCTGTCTGTGGCTTCTACTTGTCAGTGGTGCAGGATGGAGGGCCTGATAAGAACAGATGTCTAGTCGTTCGGATTGTTACGAAAAACCGAGGTCCCGTGTACATATTGGTAAAAAAAAAACATTGACAGTTGGAATTCGATTTAAGATTAGGCCGTAGCGGCGATGTCGGGGCAAAATGTCCCCATAGCAAGGTACATGGCGTGTGCCGTCTGTATTAGCCCAGTCGGAGCATATCAGGGCTAATATTAAACCGAATTTCAGTTCATAGGGATAGTTACTTCCCTTTGTTTGCTTATAGAGATTTGGGTATTGATTAAAAGCGCTACATTAAATGCGGTTCGCCAATCAGCTTCCAATATCACAATCACCCAATTAAAATATTAGAAATGATGACTTACAGAGAACATCTAGTGTCACTTATTTGGTAAATAATTTACTTATAGGTAGCTTTCCATGCAGATAGATTGGTAGATGCCGGTGAAACTTTAGCAACCGCGGCTGCACGTGTTAAAGAGGGTTACCAAGGTCGAGGAATTTTAGCAGCCATTTTGAAACATGTGCACGATTCGTATATAAATATGAAGACGGTAAAATATGAAGTTATGACAATTAATAATATTAACGTGAATGGTGAAAGAATAAAACGAAAGTTTACACAGATTTTAGAAAGGGTAAGCATCTTGAAAGAAATGCAAAAATACAATATGTGCCTAATAAATCGATGCCTGCGATGTTTAGTGTTTTGTGCTGGATGAAATAACCACAATAATGGACAATCGAGACTTTGTTTAATATCATGACAATGGTAGTAATGACGATCGTGGCTAGCCTAAAATAGAATCGCTAATATCTAAGTTCTGGGCCCTTATTCACGAAAACTTAACTGAGATAAAATCCAAATTTTAGTAATTTGATTGGATAATATTAGATTGATTTTAGTGCTTAGCCAATCAAAATTGAGGTATCTACTAAAATTTGGATTTTATCTTAAGTTAAAATTTCTTGAATCAGGGCCCAGAGCAACGCAATTTGAATGAAATTTTCGGCTCTTTATCTTATCTTACTAATGCCCCTTTAAAATATATACATAGTTATTATCCCGGTTAGAGCTGACGTGCCATAAAACTACATTTCATTTCACAAGGTTATGTCGAATTAGCAGTTAGTCCCGAAATGAACTAGTTAAACCGCATTTCTCTATCTTTATGTGGGATGCTATAAATTTGTCTTTTACTTTTTCAGGTAACTGTGGAGATAATTGGAGAAGTAGGGGATTTTAAACCAAATAAAATTGATTCTGATCAAACTAGAGTTCAAGAGCTGACATCAGAAGATTTGAAGGAAATATTCCAATCTAAAGAAATGTGTTCCAAATTATTTCCGGGAGAAAGAATTGTGCCGAACTGCTATCCCTATCGTCTGCTACCTGAGAATATTCCTCTAATGATGGACGGGTGTCAATTCTGGGGCACTAAAAGTTCTGATCAATCGAAATACACGACACTGACTGTTACAGAACATTTCAAGTTAAGAAATAGATTGATGTTCAAACTTTGTATTTATGGGAGTGACGCAGTTGATATACAACAACATTGTCTGAAACATATACATAATCTGAATATCTTGGTTAAAAGCGGAACATATACGTCTATTATGATTCACATAACTCATTCACTAGATTGTCAAGATACCGGGACATTTTTATCTACGTTTGAAAAGAGTGGCCTTAAAATTAACGATGATTTGGCCGGGAATAGGTCGATAGTAGTTGAACGGGAAATAAGATAATTTTAAAAACAAGAAATGAAATGAAATGGGGTTTAACGTCCTACTCATATACTGGGCCAATGAAGACGGGCATATGCCATACAGTGTGCTATGAGGGAAATTTTGCCCGGGCAGCGGCACTATCGCCTACTCTCATATCGAATTCCAACTGCTTCAAAAACAAGATTAAAGACAGAAATATCTGAATATTACCATTTTGAGATTTTAACGTACAGAAAGGTGGTAGCGCTTTCACTGTAATATTTATTCTATTAAAGATACATTATTTGAGATTAGATAAAGAGCTGTCAGTTCTCACTATAATAGATAAAATTTAGATAATGTAAAGGGAATTTGCTGAAAATTTCAGTCAAATTGATCCACTCTGAACCGATCCACTCGATCATCATTACTAAAGTCGGTACGATAAAAAAAATATAGTCTCGATTATCCATTTCATGATTTAATCATGAATGAAAGTTGAACAGCAAATCGGATATTAATCCAGTAAATATCGCAGGCTAGCGATGACATCGAGAATTGGTTATGGCCTGGAAAGGTTAATTAATGTTTAATTAATAATTTAGATAACATTTCAGGCCTAAAGAAAGACCTGCAATAGGCAGATTTAGCAGTTTCAATGTTGTTGTTATTTACTTAGTGTTTCCGAAACATTTTGTTAACATTAGTGGTCCGAACTGATCTGTATGACTCTGTTGTATTGTGATCACGAATTATACGTCGGTTCGCGAACTGAAACGACAAGGTATTGGGGTAAAGTTACAATGCGTCTTCTGCGTGCGCTGTAGCCCATTCAGTGCGTTATGTAAGGTAGTCAAGGTTTCGAACCCAGGCTAGGGGAACAAGAGATCGAATCTAAGCATCAGAAATCTGATTGTTGTTATAGATTCGGAGTTGCAAAGACCCCTATACGAATCACTTAAATAAACATACATATCAATTCTCTTTTTATAGGCACAACAAAGCAGAATGTTAAAAAGTCAAAAATGCATAAATAAAGCTATGAGAGCTGTGCTTGGTATGTTGAGTGGTGGTTTAACGCATGCGCTTAAAAGATCTGTCACTGAGTCAAGTGGCGTGATTTCGATTCCGCGCTCGTATGCCACAGGGAGTAGGATCGCCTGTCCTCCGGTTTCATCCTACTGCTAAAATTCAACCATATATTCGCCCCGAAATGAACTACTTTGCGTCAAGTGGATGTGAAACCCCATTTCTCTCTCAGTGTTTTTCAGACTTGACCAAAATAAAACTTGTTGCAAAGATTTGATTTTATTTTTCTGATTTCATTAATTTTTACAATTGATTTGTTTCATTTAAATATATAATCATAATTATTTTTAATTATTAAAATATCAAATGATTCATAACAAAATACACATTAGATACACATTTCTTTAAGTGACATGCTAGTAATTGGTCACAATAAATGAAACTCAAAACTTTTATGGAATGACAATGATTGAATTTAATAGGAGCAACGATCGAATAATGATTCTCTTCTCAGTATCAAGTTTGATTACGACACAAGAAACATTGCTGAAACGTTGTTCAGGTTACATTCAGTAAATGTTTTCCATAAAACCATAGGCGTACAAACCAGAGGGGAGGGGGCAACTACCCACTAACCTTCGGGCAATCTGACTTTTCGGGCAGACGTGTAAAGTTAAAACAAAAATCGAGCCCGTACGTCAATTCATAAAACTTTGTTTACATTCATATTTGATGGTTCTATAAATGTGTTTCTCAGTTACTAAATGCCACTTGAAGATAATTATAATAATCATTAAAATAATTTACAAACGAATATGTTTTGAGGGGTAATTACGGAATGATTTAAAAACATAAATTTCATTACAATAATAAAAGAATAAAATTTGAAAAGAGAAATAAATGTTTATTGTTCGTATTATTCATTTTGGACGGAATAATTTGAAATTATAAAAGAAATTACATTTTTTGTTCGTTTTATTCATTTTGGACGGAATAATTTGAAAATATAAAAGAAATTACATTTGAAAAGAGAAATAAATATTTTTTGTTTCTATTATTCATTTTGGACGGAATAATTTGAATATATAAGAGAAATAAATATTTTTCGTTCGTATTATTCATTGTGGACGGAATAATCTGCATTGAAATGCAATGACAAGATAGACTCGACTCAATAAATATCTATTTGTAGAGAATGGTATCGTTAAAGTTTAATGGGAAATGACGTCACAGAATTTTAGTATTAAAGGCAGCTAATATAGAGAGGCCTGATACGATCAGTCAAACATATGTAATATTTAATAAGCTGTACTGTGAAGATAATCGTATTGTTTTGATGTAAAAGACTTATTAATCCAAATTCAAATAATAATAGACTCTTTCCAGATTTGGAACCAATTCTGTTTGTTTGTCGTACAGCTTTTCCAAACCGAATCCAAGTACATGTTAAGCGGACGTATGTTTGTTTACTAATTGACTAGTTTCGTTTTCGACTTTAAACGAACAACTGCTGAAGAGAAAACAGCTGATGTTTTCTTCATATATGGATTCATATTCATTTATATAAATCAAAAATTTAGCCAAACATATTATTTTTTATGTTAACCCAAATTAAAGGGTTGGGTCTATTTGATAAGGTCAACTTTAAGTTTGATCAAAGCTCACGAGACGTAAACATGGCTACCGCTAATCCCAACCCTAACCTTTGACACAGCCTCAATGCTTAACCTAACCCTAACGTATAATCTCGCCAACAATCACGTGCCCTAACCTTGTTTACATCTCAGCGACCTTTGCAAAAATTGAGCTGGCCTTAACAAATAGATTTAGTCCAAATTAAAGAGACCTTATTCTTCTACTGATGAAGCATAGTTTTCAATACAGACAAATATTTTAGATTGTGGTCATTTCCCATTAAACCTTTTTTCACAGTGTCCATTTTGCGTAAATTAGCAGGGATCCATATTACATCTTTCAACGTCGAACTTCAATCCGACACATGTTCCCTCCAGACATTCTCGCCGCCTTAATCTGTTTCCGCCGCCACACTTGGCACTACAGCTTGTCCATCCGTTCCAATCAGACCATTTATAGTCTAAAATATATAGAAATGAAATGTAATAGGGTTTTGCGTCCTACTTTTCTGCTCCCATTGGACTAATGAAGACGAACATATGCCATGCAGTGTGCTATATGGGAAATTTTGCCCGGATAATAGCAAATATATAGAGACGATTAATGAAATGAAAGGTGTTTAACGGCCTACTGTCAACATAATGCAACTGAAATGTGATTTGGGCATAATTACAAATTGGACATTTACCGAAGCAATAAAATGCACAATAGCGCTGGACACACTAACCGAATCATTCGACCAAATCGTTTAGTTTACAGAACGTTTGTGTCCTCTTCAAGCACACCATGCAACGTAGCCGCATGGAGGAGAACAGATAAGTCGCTGAATGGCTTCAGCATCTTGAAACGTGTGCAGGTCTTGATGTCCGTGAGTCACAATTTGTTCAACATATAGCACAAATGCACAATCGCCGACCTATGTAACGGTGGACACACTAGCCGAATCATTAGGCCAAATCGTTTAGTTTACAGCAACGTTTGTGTCCTCCTAAAGCACACCATGCAACGTAGCCGCATGGAGGAGATCAGATAAGTCGCTGAATGGCGTCAGCATCTTGAAACGTGTGCAGGTCTTGATGTCCGTGAGTCACAATTTGTTCAACATATAGCACAAATGCACAATCGCCGACCTATGTAACGGTGGACACACTAGCCGAATCATTAGGCCAAATCGTTTAGTTTACAGCAACGTTTGTGTCCTCTTCAAGCACACCATGCAACGTAGCCGCATGGAGGAGATAACTCTCTTGAAACGTGTGCAGATTTTGATGTCCGTGAGTCACAATTTGTCCAACATATCGCCGTCTGGGACGTCGACTTACAGAACACAGTCCGCGATGGACACGTGGACCCGTCACGGTAGCAAAATGGAGAAGGACACTGCGACCTTAATCTCTAATGCATTTCATCTAAAATGAAATGAAACTACTGTTCTGCTCCGATTGGGCTATTGTCATCTAAAAGGCTACCAGACCATACTTACTAGGATTTTATTGGAGGTGTAACTAGCATGGAAGCCAGTGTAACTATTATATACAACATCAGGTCATACTAGGTTTTGTTTTGACGGTGTATCTTGCATAGAAGCCAGTGTAACTATTGCATAAGGCATCAGGTATATTATGATGTACCTAGGCCGGTGTAACTATTGTATAGAGCATCGGGTCATACTTACTAGGTTTTGTGGTGATGGTGTACCTAGCATGGAAGCCAGTGTAACTATTGTATAGAGCATCAGATCGGAATTGTAGAAACAAAATATTTGATGAATGGTGAATGGGTGCTGGAATCTTGTTTCCACAAAACCTATAAAATATTCCACAAATTCTTATAATAAATGATGATCACCGCGATGACTAAGATTTGAGGTATGGAAATTAGTCAAGGATGTTCGAGGATAGAATGTGTGGAACACACAAAACGTAGGGAAAAAGAATGAACCACCTAATGACTCACTGTACGTACAATCCTGCTGTGTCGCATCATTCATGGGCACGCTGAGCAGGACTGGTATTACAGTCATTTCAGCAATACCTGATGGGCTGGTACCACTGGATCAAACAATGGGCAACTAGGGTGGTTAAAATAGCTGTTTAAAACAATTAACGAATAATGGGTGAACTTAGTCGTTGACGTATTCCCGGGCTACTACTGTAGTAAAGCGAGTAATGTAAATAAAAACATCAACCTACTTGAGACCAGGAATTTCCGGTCCTTTAGTTCTGACTTCTAACCAATCGTAACCACACGGTGCATAGTCATCAGCCTCCACTTCAAAATGATCAAATTCAACTGTAATATTTGCTTCTGCAGGTCCCTACAAATAAAATAAAATGAAATGAAATGGGGTTTAACGTCCTACTGTTCTGCTCCGACTGGGTTTACGAAGGCGGGTATACGCCATGCAGTGTGCTATAAGGGAAATTTTGCCCGGACAGCAGTGCTGTGACCTGCTCTTATATCGAATTCCATCTGTCAAGGGTTCTTTTACGTGCACGCCAATGTGTACACGGGATCTCGGTTTGTCGTCCCCCGAACTACTATACGTTGTGGCACACCAGGCCTGCCGTCCTGCACTACTGACAAGGACGTGTCACGCTAGAAATCAACTTTCTCGGCCGGGATTGAACAAGGGACCTCCAGGTTAGCGAGCCAA